TTTCCCGTAGTGTTAGTACCGAAGAAGAACGGAGCGATTCGCATTTGCATTGATTATCGCAAGCTGAATGAAATCACGATCAAAGATGTGTATCCCCTCCCCCGGATTGATGATCTGTTGGATGCGATTGGATGCGCTAAAATATTTCAGAAAGTTTGATATTCGGCATGACTTCCATCATATTCTTGCAACGAAGAAGATCGGCCAAAGACGGCCTTTGTGTTGTTTGAGGGCACGTGGCAGTGGGTTCGTTGTCCGATGGGGATTTGCAATGCGCCTGCCACGTTTCAGCGAGCAATGAACATGACGTTCCAGAACTTCGCCAGCAAGACACGGCTGACGCAAGGAATGATTAACTTCTGCGTGATCGTGTACATGGACGACATCCTGGTCTATTCGGAAACCTATCACGGGCACGCGCAACACATCAAATGGACATTGGGCGCTTTGAGAGACGCTGGGTTCAAGATTGCACTTGAGAAGAGCGAATTTTTTCTCTCGGACATTTCGTTCTTGGGCTATGTCGTGACACGTGGAGGATTGCGGCCAGATTCGAGAAAAGTTGCGGCGGTGAAGGAAGCTCCGGTTCCTACGTCACTGACGCAGGTTCGAGCCTTCTTGGGACTGGCGTCGTACTACCGACGCTTCATCAAGGGCTTTGCCGCGATTGCACGACCACTAACGAATTTGTTACGGAAGGACCAGCCTCTCAGCTGGGACGCGGAGTGCCAGCAGGCCTTTGCAACCCTCAAAGACGCTCTAGCAACGACCCCTCGAAGCAGTTCATTCTCATCACGGACTGGCAACCGGAAGCTATTTTCGCTATCCTAGCGCAGAAGGGGAACGATGGTCGCGAACACGTCATCGAGTATGCGTCACGAACCGTACCAGACGAACGAAGAAACGACTCCGCACCTCAGGGTGAGTGTTATGCGGTAATTTGGGGAATCCAACACTTCCATCCGTATCTCTACGGACAGAAGTGTCGCCTCGTAACGGAGCACGAGCCTCTGCTGGCGCTGAAGAAACTCACCAACTACATGGGCATGATTGGCCGTTGGGCGGTGCGACTACAAGAATACGACTTCGATATCGTCCATCGAAAGACAGAGCGACACGGCAACGCGGACGGGCTGACACGCCTACATCGACCTGCCAAGGTACCAAAGGGCGAGGAAATTACACCGTGGAAAGAGCCGGACTTGACTAACGAGCCGAAGTACGGACAAGTGGCAGTTCTCCCACGTGGCAAGAAGCAAAACGGTGCGATGGGTGATGGAGGTAACCCCACTACCCCTCTTTCTCCCCTTTCCTCCTCGTCTCTCCTCTCCCTGCCTGACAAATTTTGCTATTTTTGCGAAGCCATCTCCCGCGTCTATTCGGTCTCCATGCGTCCTAACGGGGTGGGATATGCGGATTGGATAGATTGCCGACAGTGTGTTGCAC